ATAAATACAAAACATGCTCAAATAAACACCATTTTAAAAATATATTTTTTATTGATTTCAGTATGGAAGGGAAAGGGAGAGAGAGATAGAAACTTCAATGATGAGAGAAAATCATTGATTGGCTGCCTCCTGCACTCCCCATACTGGGGATTGAGCCAAAAACCAGGCATGTGCCCTCACAGGAATTGAACTATGACCTCCTGCTTCATAGGTCGATGCTTAACCACTGAGCAACACAAGCCAGACCAAATAAACCCCATTTTTCTAAAAAAAAAAAAAAAATTCCCTTGCTGCTCATTCCTCCACATCTAGTGTTGTTTTCCTACTCCTATGAACTGTAAAACCCCTTGTGTATGTCCTGATTTTACTGGAAGAACTTTATATGTCTAATTCTTCTTTGCTTTGCTTTGCTTTGCTTTGCTTTGCCTAAAACCACCAATTACTCTCTCATGATTCTATGGGTTGGTAATTTGGGCTGGATTCAGCTAAGAAGTTTTTCTACTACCTCAGTTGGCTTGCTCATGCTTCTATAGTCAGAAGCTATGTCTTCTAGGGGCTGTTTTGTCCCAGATGTCTTCACTCACATGTTTCAAATAACAGGTATGAATGGGCCACATGTCTTGAGTGTGTGGAAAGATAGACTAGTATCCAAAATCATCAAAAGAGAACAAGCCGAAATATTTCAGTGGTTTTCTTTCTTTTTTTTTCTTTTCTCTGTGTGTGTGTGCATGTATGTGTGTGTGTGTCTAATAAGGAGCATTTTATTCAATGCCAAAAAGTTCTAAAGCTCTAACCATCACCAGTTTCCCAAACTCCCTCTTTATTCTTTTTCATTTAATTCATTTGGGTGACAGCCTATATAATAAAACCCTAATATGCAAATTGACCAAATGGCAAAATGACCGGAGGAATGACAGATAACTATGATGGGCCCTGAACAGCAGGTGGCAGACACTCAGTGCAGGAGCTGCCCCCTGTTGGTCAGTGTGCTCCCACAGGGGGAGCGCCACTCAGCCTGAAGCCAAACTCACAGCTGGCTAGCACAGCAGCGGTGGCAGGAGACTCTCCCACCTCCACAGCAGTGCTAAGGAGCAGCGAGCATGTGAGTGGTAAGGAGTGAGCGGTCTTGGATTGCAAAAGGGAGCAGGCCAGGCTGAGGAACCACCCCCAGTGCACAAATTTTGTGCACTAGGCCTCTAGCTGCTTAATAAAATTATATAGATTTCACATGAACAATTATATAATACTACTAGTTGCCCAGTGCACGAAATTCATGCACGGGGGGTGGGGGGGTGGGGTGTCCTTAGCCCGGCCTGCACCCTCTCAAATCTGGGACCCCTCGGGGGATGTCTGACTGCTGGTTTGGGCCCGATCTAAACCGGCAGTCAGACATCCCTCTCACAATCTGGGGATGCTGGCTCTCACCAGACTGCTCTCGCCCCCAACTGCCCTCCCCTTGCCAGCCTGATCACCCCCAACTGGCCCCTCTGCCAGCCTGCTTGCCCCCAATTGACCCTCCTTGCCAGCCTGATCGCCCCCAACTTCCCCCCACTGCTGGCATACTCATCCCCCAACTGACCCCCTGCTGGCCTGCTCGCCCCCAGCTCTCCTCCTCTCCTGGCCTGATTGCCCTAACCACCTCTGCCTCAGCCCCACCACCATGGCTTTTTCCAGAAGGTCTCCCAGAAGGTCTCCTAGTCTAATTAGCATATTACCCTTTTATTAGTATAGATAGAGGCATGGTGCATGGGAGGGGGCTGGCTCGTCTGCCCTGAAGGGGGTCCCAGATCAAGGTGGGGGTCCTCACTGGGGGTGGTACTGGCCTGGGTGAGGGGCTGAGGGCCATTTTCAGGCCAGTCACTCCCCCATCAAGGTGAGGGTCCCCACTGGGGGGCATGGCCCGCTTGGGCAAGGGCCTGATGGCTGTTTGCAGGCTGGCCATGCCCTCATTGGGGTGGAGGGTCCCTGCTGGGGGGCGTGGCTGACCTGGGCGAGGGGCTGAGGACCATTTGCAGGCTGGCCACACACCCTTCAAGGTGAGGGTCCCCTCTGGGGGGCATGGCCAGACTGGGAGAGGGGCTGAGGGCCATTTGGAGTCAGTTAGAAGGCCAGTCAAGCCCCCGGCTTTGTCAAGAAGGATGTCTGGAAGGTCTCTGGAAGGTCTCCTGGTCTAATTAGCATATTATTCTTTTTATAGTATAGATTTTGGAATGGTTGTTCATTTTCATCTAACTGGACTTCTGTTACATCATGGAATTGTCATAAATGATCCTTGTATTGCTGAGCACAATGAACAATTCGCTTTTTAAAAAATTAAGTAAATTATTTTAAAATTAAAAACCATGACCTCTTGGTTCATTGGTCAATGTCCAACTACAGATGGACTCCAAGAAATTATTTTTCTAAATAATTTTCTAAATCTGTTAGAATTAATGAAAAAGTTGAGTAAAGATGTAGGATACAAAATCAATAGATAAATATCTGTTGAATCAATACACTAAATAATAAACTGTCAGAAGAGAAATTAAGAAAACTATTTCATTTCCAATTGCATCAAAAACAATAAAATACCTGAAACTAAACTATAAAACATTGATAAAATATATTGATAAATGGAAAGATATTTTGTGCTCGTAGATTGGAAGAATTAATGTTGTTGATGCCCATACTACTGTTAAAGAGAAAACCACAAGCCCAAAGTGGCAACGCTCAAGCTAAAAACCCATGATGTTAAATCTAGATTTTATACTGGACTTAATGGAACTTTCAACATCTCCCAGAAGCTTAATTTTAATCAACCAGCCTTGAATTTTCTGGTCAAACACCAGTAAGGTAATTGTCATGTGGGCCCTCCCCATCCCCACAGAAAGAAGAGGGAATCTGTATGATAGAAATCCTTCCCATCCTCTTCCCCCAAAGAAAAGATGTCATGGCCCCCAAATAACCCTTTTTTTCCCTGTTGTTAATAGCTCTTTGTCCCTCCCTCTTTCCTATAAAATGTTCTATTTTGTACATCCCCTCTGAGCTCCCTTTTAGTTGCCAGATAGGATGCTGCCTGATTCATGAATCACTTAATAAAGCCAATTAGATCTTTAAATTTACTTGGTTAAATTTTGTTTTATGACAGATTTGGGGGCAGTGATGCTATCAAAGGAGATTTCCAGTGGCATCAGGGAAGAGAAACATGAGTGTGGTACCCAGGAACCCTTTTGAGTTCACTGTCTTTCCCACCATTTCTGGGGCTGTCTGTAAGTTCTTATCAGTTTTGAGCTCCACGCTCTTTGCATTTAAGCTTCTGATTTAATTGGCTTTCCCTTACTGGGTAGGTCTGCTTGAGCTGGCTGGGGGGTTCTCCCCAGAACCAAGCCCCTAGCCTTTCAGACCACAATTGCCAGGACTCAGTAACATCGCTTGGTTAATGGCAATATACTAGTAGTGGAAAACTCTGGCCCTTGATTCTGCTCCCAGATTCCATGTTGGGAACTGTGGGTGTGGTAGCAGCTGCAATTCTCCATTTGTTTTCCTGCATGCCCCGCACTGGGGATTGAGCCCGCAACCAAGGTACATGCCCTTGACCGGAATCGAACCTGGGGCCTTTCAGTCCGCAGATTGACGCTCTATCCACTGAGCCAAACCGTTTAGGGCTACCCAACCTATTCTTTAAGGCTCAATTCAAGTCCTGTCTCCTCTGTGGTGAAGCCTTTTCTGATGAATTCTCCCTTCTTTATTTTATTTTTGATTTAATTTAATTATTTTGTTTTGGAACTTGAAATATATGCAATTTTATTTTCAACTAGAGGCCCACTGCACAAAATTCGTGCAAGAGTAGGCCTTCCTTCCCTCGGGTGCCAGCACCGACTTCCCTCTGGCACTCAGGACCCGGCTTTGCTTCAGCCACCGACAAGCATCCAGAACCCAGGCTTCCCTCCAGCCCTGGCTTCGTCCAGAACGACGTCCAGAATGATGTCCAGTCTAATTAGCATATTACGCTTTTATTATTATAGATAGGAATAACACATGGACACAGATAATAGTGAAGGCCTGGGGGGAAAACAGAAGGGGAGCGGAGGGGTTCAGTGGAGGAACAAAGGAGGGTATCTGTAATACTTTTAACAATAAAGGTGAATTCTTTCAAAGCAAACCCACAGAATCATAGCCTTCCTGCCTTTGGATCCCAATAACAGGCAGAGCCCTTCAACCAAGTCCATTTTCTCTATCTATCTATCTATCTATCTATCTATCTATCTATCTATATTTCACACACACACACACACACACACACCTTCCTGTGTGGCTTTCAGGCATGCTGGATTATAAGTAATAATCTAACGTTTTCATAGTTCAATGATGGTTAATGCAATTATAATAAAAACAACAAAGGTCCATCTACCCACAACACTGACTTTGATCTGAGCAGCAAGTAGTAGGACCCAGGCCAGTGCCCAGCCATTCCTATCCTGATTCATCACTATCAATAGACGGAGATTAATAAGGAACAATGATAAAGTCTACAGTATCAGGAAAAGCAGTTAAGGTACCAATGTACAAAAAATGAGGGACACATGGTGAAAACTGAGGTTTCACATTTTTATGGAATAAAAGATTATAATGTATTAAGAAGCCAAGTGAAGTTTTTCCTACATGAGTAATACCACTTAGTACTATTATATCTAAAAAACAAGAACAAATTACATACAATGATGTATGTCATTTCAGAAGAAATTATTCTTTAGACATCAGTATTTCCAGTGAAATAAATGAAAACCTCCCAATATTTCTCATCAAGGTTCAAATAAACGTTGTGAACATAAAAGAAAAAACCTGCCTATATAACAGACGAAGCAGAAAGCTTAATAAAATGATTGCTTAAATTGTATAGAGAAGTTGAAACAAACAAAGGAACTTCAAGGACAGACATAAAAGAACCATTACTGAATCTTATTAAAGAATCACAATTTCTGTTTTTGAGTTATGGAGCCCTGAAATCAAGGGCACTTTTTCTACCTCAGGATGATTGTCCCTTTTATACCTGCCATCCCAAAGAATCTTTTCAGGGCCATCTTTATGTCTTTGTTTCTCAGACTGTAGATGAAGGGGTTCAGCATGGGTGTGACCACAGTGTACATCACTGAGGCTGCTGCACTTGAGTGTGAGCTGTGGGTAGCAGCAGAGCTGAGGTACACTCCTAGGCTAGTTCCATAAAATAAGGAGACAACCCAGAGGTGAGATGCACAGGTAGAAAATGCCTTATACTTCCCCTGAGCTGATGGGATTCCTCGTATGGAGGACACTATCTTAGAGTAAGAGTAAAGGATACCAACAAGAGGACCACCACCCAGCAGCACAACTCCAAAATACATCACCATGTTATTAAGAAAGGTGTCAGAACAGGCAAGTTGGACTATCTGTTTGATTTCACAGAAAAAGTGGGGGATTGCCAAGTCTGTACAGAAGGACAGTTGCAACATTATTAAGGTTTCTACCAAGGAATTCAGGGCACTCATAATCCAGGACACCAGAACCAGCAGGCCACAGAGCCGGGGGTTCATGATGACCATGTAGTGCAGGGGGTGGCAGATGGCCACATACCTGTCATAGGCCATCACGGCTAGCAGAAAGTCATCTAGTCCTCCAAAGAATATGAAAAAATACATCTGTGTGATGCAGCCTGCATAGGTGATGACTCTGTGGCTGCAGTGCTGGTTTCTCTGAAAATCCCAGGAGAAGAAATTCTGAAATCAGAGTTTTATTCTCAGGTCCCATGCGGTGGAGGTGACTAGTAGGAAAGAAAAAATAGCATGATTAGTTTTTAAAATAATGGCCATTACAAGCATAGTTGAAATGCTACAATTATATTTTATAACAAAGCAACAATATCTATTAAAATATCTATTTTTTGAACATCTCATCCCCCATAACATCTCTGATTAGGAATTCCAGTCCTCCTCAAACTTTGTTTCCAAGGTGCTCATGGATTAAACTGTTTTCATGAGAAATGCTTTCATGCACTTGAGGAATATTTATTGAAAATTCCCACCTCCAGGGAAAGGGTACAGGACGCTCAGAAACAAAATTCTTAGAATAATGATAAAGAACACATACAATGTATCTGTCATATAACAAGTTAGATGGTGTCATGTGAAGAGAAAGAAAGTACGTTTAAAAGAGAGTAGATGGGGTGTTATTTTATACTCGGAGTTCAGGGAGGCCTGCAAACAAGGTGACAATTGAACAGAGACCTCAAGGAAGACAGAGGGGATGACATGAGGTTATTTGGGGTGGGGGGTGGGGTTTATGTAGGAAAAGAGGCAGTGCCAAAACCCTGAGATGACACTTGTTTTAGGTATTAAAGGTTCAAAAAGGATCCAGAATGATGAAATAGAATAGACTCAAAAAGGCACAAAAGAAAATATTAGAGTGCATTATACATAGTGAGGATACAGACATAATGGTTTCATGGTTCCCTTTGTTCAGGTGTGTGTGTGTGTGTGTGTGTGTGTGTGTGTGTGTGTGTGTGTGTGTAAAAATTGCTGGTTCGCAATGTAAAAGGCAATGTAAAATGCACTGACTGTCTTAATTTGGGACACAGTAAAACTAACGTGGAATTCAATGCAATAAATGGGAGAAGAGTTGAAAAGGCCAGTTCCTACTAATGAGGAAAAAATAATGAGTGAAGAGCCCAGCAGAGGCAGTTGCAATGATCCTGGGAACTTGACCCATGGAACCCATTCTTCCGTGAGCATTCTCTGAGATCTCCTTATACTCACTCTTGTGCTGATGAGAGAAAGTCGCACAGAATGTAAGAAGAGTTCCAGGTCCATCAGGCACCAGCTGTAGAAGAGTGAATTAGAACTCACCTCCTGACTCTAAGTCAGTGCTTTTCTGCTCTGCAAGGCTGCTCACTCTGTCAGTGCTTCACAGAGAAGAGGAAATGCTAAGGTTGAAATAAAGCAGAATCCTGAGAGCTGAGCAGACAGAAGGGAGGGTCTGTTCCTGCTGTGGGCGGAGAGAGGCTGTGGAATTGAGCCCTGCCCTGG